TTACAACAAGGTTTTTATTGTTATTATTCTGACCCAATCATATGAGTTTTAGGTTTCAAATGTTACAGTATTTAGCAGAGTTTCAAAACATGAAATGACATTTCTCATTATCATATATTTTACTTGCTTTCAAGATGAGAACATTGGGTTATTAGTGTATATTAAAGTATTAGCTGATGATAATATAGTATGAAATATGCCAATAATTTATATTAATATCTTTTTTATTTTATTAATATTTTAGTCCCACTCTGACATACTCAGACAATGGGAGAGGAAAAAGCTTGCAGATACATGTGCAAAGTAAGCAGTGTCACAAAAGAGGTTATGTGATGATATTTACAAACATGTATAGCTAATGAATCTCTGTGCAATGGGCATGTTATGAGCACTTGAAAAGTAATTATAAAGGCTAAGTAATATTTACATTGTAGATCAGATTTCAGAATGTATTTTGGGATAAACGTTCATTTAATTTATATAAATTCTATTCAAAAAAATTTAATGAAGGTTGAGAAGTAGTTCTGTTAATAGAGCCTGAACCTGACATGTGCCATACTCTAGGTAAATGAGGCATGACTGTGGTCCATTGTAAATCTTGCAATTAGGAGAAGGAGACAGAAACACAAGAAATTTAAGGTCAAGTATGGCTACATTTTAAGTTCAAGGCCAGAGAGTGACAAGATACTGTTAAAAATATAAAAAAAAATTAAAAAAATACTAGCCAATGAGTCAACAATTAAACATCCAAAGGACATTTTTTGCTACAAAACTGCAAGTTCCTTCTATGCCATAATAAAATCATACATGAGCAAAAATATGAGAGCAAAGTGTTCATTTCAGCATTAATACATTAGCCCAAAATGGAAAATATAAATATCTAACAGGGAAGAATTTCTCCAATTATGTGTACTGTGATGATTAAACAATGCATGCATAACATTATTCATAGTTGTAGAAAACTTCCATTACCAAGCTTTTCAAATCATTAATTCCTTCATCTGAACATTCATTCACACAACCTTTACTAAGCACCTACTGATATCCACAGACTTAGTTGATGAGGATGCACTGTGGAGATGCTTCTTTTTCTAAGAGGTACCCTTTCAACAGAAACTTACTATATAGTCACATGTGTGTCAGGGTTTGACTAGGGTGCTTATATTTAATTATACAATAGAAGTTCACAATAAGGAATGTTTGAAAAATGTAACAAGAGAATTATGCTACTACATATGTGAGGCAGCTAGCTATCCTGGATTTCACAGTAGATAGACCCAGTGGAACACAATTGCCTCGGCTGCGGCTGTGAAATGAATGTAGACATCTGTCTATGTTTCTATCTATGTATCTGTCTATATGTGTATGTATCTATCTATATATCTAGGTCACTGTTTATCTGCTTGTCTACATCTGCATATACAAAAAAGTCATATACATTCATATACTTTGTTATGTTCATGCTAGTTGAAGTATAAAACTTTCTGATAAAGACTATGTAATTCTTTAAAGAATTTCATGTGCTCTCAATAAAGCTTTATATGTTACTAATAGGCTAGTAAATACTGAGTTAGAAAATGAAAGTTACATGAATGAAAAAAATTACCTGTTGGTATCTAATTCTGAGTACATATTCAAGTGCATGAGCTTAGTCTCAGAATGGTAACTAAGAATTCTAAAACAATAAAGACCAAAAATGTACACAGAACCAAAGATAATAGGGTCTATTAAAACACTAATAACATTCACATATGTATACAAAGAACAACACAGATTTTATATAATGATATAATACAATCTTTAGTTATTTGAAAACAAAATGTATTATAACATTCACAGTTATATGTAAGCACTGAGTATTTATAAATGTTAAGAAGAAAATATCTTAGTTCAGATTAGATTTATGAGGCAAATAAGTACAAATATGTAAAATATCTATGCAGAGTAGAAAGTTTCAAATGTCCACTCATTTGATCATGCAGTTACTTCCTTTAACCTCTTACTGTACTGTATTTAGTTTAGGGATAAGGAAACAAAGAGAGACAATATTTATAGACTTGAGAAGTAACAACTAAAGGTGACTACTAATGCTATTGGAACCTGCATTATCTAAATAAAGCCTTTTTCTTTCCAGATTTCTATATTGGGTTTTGTTCCTGAGACTGAAAACAGTTCCTGATACCTAAGAAGCAATTCACAAAACAAATACTGCATGAAATAATCCATTTAGACCAATCCGGTCACTAAAATGAATCTGAATTCCAAAGTCAAGTTATTTGTCCAACTCACACAAGTAAGCATGTCAGAGTTAGAGGAGAAATGATTTTCTTAAAATGCATCTCTTTATTAAATATTTTCATGCAATATAGTTTGACGATGATTTCTCTTTCTCCAATTCCGCCAAGATCTTCTCCAGCTCCCTAACCACCCAACTTCATGTTTCCCTGCCCTGTGGGAAGTCCAAGGACTTCCAGGTCTAGTTAGGTGAGCATCCAAACTGCCTAGGCTCCCACAAAGCCAGTACGTACGGTAGGATCAAAGCCCAGTACCATTATTCTTGAGTTCTCAGTAGTTCTCATTGTCCACTATGTTCAGCGAGTCCGGTTTTATCCCATGCTTTGGCAGACCCAGGCCAGCTGGCCTTGGTGAGTTCCCGATAGAACATGCCCATTGTCTCAGTGTGTGGGTGCACCCCTCGCGGTCCTGAGTTCCTTGCTCGTGCTCTCTCTCCTTCTGCTCCTGATTTGGACCTTGAGATTTCAGTCCGGTGCTCCAATGTGGGTCTCTGTCTCTGTCTCCGTTCATCGCCTGAATACCCAAGAGATGCCCTATCATACAACAAAAGTATATGCTCAACTGTTTTCATAGCAGCATTGTTTGTAATAGCCAGAACCTGGAAACAACCTAGATGCCCTTCAATGGAAGAATGAATGAAGAAAGTATGGAAAAGATACATATTAGAGTACTACTCAGCAGTAAAAAACAATGACTTCTCGAACTTTGCATGCAATTGGACAGAAATAGAAAACACTATCCTGAGTGAGGTAAGCCAGACCCAAAAAGAGGAACATGGGATGTACTCACTCATAATTGGTTTATAGCCATAAATAAAGGACATTGAACCTATAATTCGTGATCCTAGAGAAGCTAAATAAGAAGGTGAACCCAAAGGGAGGAGCTTTTAAAGACACCCAATTTAGGACTGACTGCTGTCAAGTCTCATATTCTCCATACATTGTCCCGTTGTAAGTCTCCGTGTTAATTCCCATCTACTGCAAGAAAAGACTTCTCTGATGAAGACTGAGGGAGGCACTGATTTATGGGTATATGTCATCCAGAATTATGTGGTTGGAAAATAAAAGCAGTATGATTCTCCTTAGGTCATGAGTTATGCAATTTTGGATTCTTGGCCACGTTAGCAATGTCAAACATGAGTCCCATCTCATCGGGTGGATCTTAAATTCAATCAAAAAGTGGTTGATTACTCCCATATTTGTGCCACCATTGTTCCAGCGTATCTTGTGGCCACTTCACTATTATAGGTCACAGGGTTTGTATTCTGGTAATATTGATGATTACCTTTTTCCCATTTTAGTCTACAGAGTAAGTTTCAGTATTATGAATACTATTCAGAAGGAGTGAAGTTTCTAGCTGGGTACCAGTTCAACTTCTCTGTTGATGACATAAATGTTGTCTTCAGCAATAGAATCTAAACATCAAGATTTGGAGAACAACCAGTAGTCTTGTGTGTGTGTGTGTGTGTGTGTGTGTGTGTGCGTGTGTGTGTATGTGTGTGTGTGTGTTACCTCACTCAGAATGATTACTTTTAGTTCCATCTATTTACCTGCAAATTTACTAATTTCCTTTTAAGCAGCTGAATAATATTTCACAGTATAAATGTGCCACATTTCATTAGCTATTCATCAGTTAATAGAATCCTAGACTTTTTCCAATTTCTCTTTTGAGCAGCAATGGCCATGAATGGATCCGTAGTAGGTTGTGGAGTACTTTGGGTATATTCTGAAGAGCTCTTCAGCTAGATCTTCCTAAGGAGTTGCCACACTGATTTCCTTAGTGGCTGAACCGGTTTGGACTCCCAAGGGAAATGTGCAAGTCTTCCTCTTCACCCACATCTTTGCCAGCATGTTCTGTCATTCGCCTGATTGATCTTGGCCCTTTTGACCGTGATAAAATAAAATCCCAAAATAGTTTTAATTTGCATGTCCCTCGTGGCTAAGGTTGGTGACCATTTCTGTAAGAGTTTCTCAACCATTTCCTTTCCTTTAAAAAATATTTTTTTTTTCTGATCAATCAACCAAGCAGAAGCACAACGCATGAATTCAAAATGCATTCCCACCGCTCTATCAACCAAAGACCAAGTTGTATTATCATTACTTTCCAGGTCGACTTTAAGGTCTTCAGTAACATTTTCCAATGATTCATTGATGTATGGTATTTTCTTGAGGTCAGTGGTCTTTCAGAGCCCACAGAACATTTTCAAAGACCTGTCTTGGGTCACTTAAAGGGTAAATCAATGTTAAGTTTAGTTCTCTCTGCTATCAATATCCACACATGTAGACGTTTATTAAGATTTTACTTTAACAGTAACAACTTTGCCTTCTTAGTGATAGACCCTTTTACCATTTAGAGACAAATTAACTTTTCGCATTACCCTAGGCTTATCTATAGTGAAGTTAGTCCATCTTAAATCATCTTCCTAGTTATTTTGTTTCAAACAGTGTTTGAAAGAACCTAAAATCAATAATTAACCTTGTTCAGGAAGAGACAGTAGCACTGTACTAAGTGTTCTGTTGAAGCCCTTGGGTCCCTCACCCTGTTGCTAGCCAGATGAGGGCGGGACTGCGGAGTAGTGGGCGGTTCCCGCGAGGGCGTGGGGCGTGGTCTGCTCCACCCCGCCCATGGCGCGCGCCCGCCTCGGCCTCTGCTGCCCTCGCGGGGCCGCGCAGTGAGGCGGAGCGAGGGGGCGGGGCCTCCGCATCTCCTCCATCCCCTGGCTGCCGACCGCAGGGATGTTCCCGGCTCAGGAGGAGGCTGACAGGACCGTGTTTGTGGGCAATTTAGAGGCCCGAGTACGGGAAGAGATTCTTTACGAGCTGTTCCTTCAGGTACCGTCCGCGGGGAAGGCCGGGCGGCGGCTCGGGAGCCCCGGGACCCCGCCCCACCGGAGCTCAGGTCTCCCTTCCTTCCCTTGGGTACACAAGAGCGTGGCCGGTGATGAGTGGTCCCTTCCTCTGAAGCCCCGGGTGGGCAACGATCTCCCACCCCAATCCCACAGCCTGCCAGCCCCTGGCGAGGGCTGCCGGATCCTCTGCGGGCCCTGGATGTGCTGTGGAACATAAAACAACCCGTCACTGTCCTCAGGGAATAGTAAGCACCCTTGTGTCCAATCTGAATATGGTACCTGTCCCTGGTCATTACTCTTTCTTCCAAGCCTTTTTGATGGGGAAAGCAGTTTATTCTAGACTCTTACAAGTGATTACTGACTGGGTCCCCTGGTAATGACACTGTATTTCATAATTGGAGGACCTTCGGGACCTTTCCGAGAACTGGAAAAAAAAAAAAAAAAAAAAACTTGCCAGAGAGGGGTGTCTTCTACTGCTCATCTAGTTGGTTAATGACACAGAATTATGGGGCAAACCAAAGTGCAGGGAAAACCCTAAAGGGGGGAATCCACACTGTTTCCATGACTGATGCTTATCGGTAAAAACGTATATAAAAACTGTTGACAGTAAGAGCACTGAGGTCGACAGTGTGACCAGAAGTCAGTCAGTGTTGGAGTCTCAGTATGTGGAATTTTATACTGTGAAATGGAAGTAATAGTGTCTGCAATGTAATCTGATTGCCAGCAGTAAACTTAGCTCAATAAAACAGCTACCGCCATTGCGGCTGGCTGCTGCTAATACTTATTAGTGCTAATAGAATAATAAAAAGAAATCAGGAGTGATTTGCACTTACAAAATAACGGGAAATTCTCAGAGACACAATACAGAGATATGTTTCAAGAGTGAAGTTTGGGTACCAGCCGTGGAAGTAATTTTTTTGTTTTGTTTTAAGTAATGTTTAAAGGACTTAGTTTGTCTCTAAATTTAAGTAAAGATGCTGAGAGCTGGATAGTTAGCAAGGATTCTCTGAGAATAGCTTTCCTCTTAAACATTAAAATTTTTATTACTTAAAAATTATATATATTAAGACTTTTATCTTTATTTATTGCCATTTTAAAGATTTTCCTCTAAAAACATAACTATCTATTTTATGATCCAATATGGTTTGAAATTCACTGTTCAGAAAAGGAGTAATTTTAGCTCCTCCAGAACGCTTCCCTCTTTTTAACTCCAAGGGGAGTTAAAAAAAGGTTGTGGGGTTGCCAATCCTCTATCACCAGAACCATCTAGTGAGGAAGAACTAGGTACACATCAATGTGTGCACAGAAAAGGTGAAATATAGTAGCTCCTTATTACTTTTATGATTTCCTTTTCCCACTTGACTAAAATTTAAATACTGTTCAATGGGTCAAGCAGTAAGCCTGCCTGTTCATTTTGCTCAAAGAGAATTACTAATGTACAGGATCATTTGAAAGACTTTGATGTCAGCAACATGAGCAAAACCACCATTCAGCTGCTCTGAAAATGTCTCAATCTGACTTTAGAAGAAAGTTATGTGGTTGTTGGTTTCAAAAAAGTCAGTTGAGTTATGCTATACCAGAACTGGAAGTGTCTCTCAGTGATCAACACTTGCTTTGCATTCATAAGATCCTAGACTCTGTTGCCAGCACTCAGGAAATAAGGAGTTTGTGCTTACGTTTATAAGTAAATCTCGTCTTTGTATGCTTCTGTATACTGTAATATTTTTTATGGATTTTTATTGAGCTTTACATTTTCTCTGCTCCCCTCCCTGCCTCTACCCTCCGCTTCAACCCTCTCCCAAAGTCCCCATACTCCCAATTTGATCAGGAGATCTTGTCTTTTTCTATTACCCATGTAGATTAGATCTATGTATGTCTCTATTAGGGTCCTCATTGTTGTTTAGGTTCTCTGGGATTGTTTTGTGGGCTGGTTTTCTTTGCTTTATGTTTAAAAAACATGTATGAGTGAATACACGTGACAATTATCTTTCTGGGTCTGGGTTACCTCACTCAAAATGTTTTCTAGCTCCATCCATTTCCCTTCAAAATTCAAGTGTCGTTATTTTTTTTTTCTGCTATGTTGTATTCCATTGTGTAAATGTACTACATTTTCTGTTGGGATTAATGAGTCCTGTCCTTCAGCTGCTTTTCCCTCTTAGAACCTTTTAATGTAAGTTACTAGAAGCTGTGCCTAGTTAGAGGATCAGAGGATGGGATTATCACCTCTTGACCATTGACTGCAGTGTATTTAAGTCTACATGGTGTTAATAAAAGGGGCATTGGTATCAGTGTTAAAAGGTCTGTGTGTCGGTCTGTCTCTGAGTCTGTATTCTTAACCTCCAGCCCCTTGCCTGAAGCTCGCAAACTGGGTTCTAGCGCACAGAGCGCAGACATGGGGGCGCGGTGCGCGGCAATTTTTCTTATCCATTCTTTGGTTGAGGGGCATTTAGGTTGTTTCCAGGTTCTGGCTATGACAAACAATGCTGCTATGAACGTAGTTGACCACATGTCCTTGTGGCATAATTGAGCATCCTTTGGATATATACCCAAGAGTGGTATTACTGGGTCTTAAAAAAGCTTGTTTCCTAATTTTCTGAGAAATCGCCACACTGACATCCAAAGAGACTGTACCAGCTTGCATTCCCACCAGCAATGGAGGAGTGTTGTCTTTACCTCACAACCTCTCCAGCATGAGTTGTCATCAGTGTTTTTGATCTTGACCATTCTTACAAGTATAAGACAGAATCTCAGAGTTGTTTGGATTTGCATTTCTCTGATGATTAAGGATGTTGAACATTTCCTTAAGTATGAGTACTGTAATATTAGTAGAGGAAAACTGAAACTAGAAAACAGAATAAGTTCTTCATTACTATATGAATTTTTATAATCAATTTCAAATTTCTCAATATCTTGTTTTAAAATTCATATATATTTTTGTCCCTTTAACCAAGAAATTTTAGAGTAGAGATTTAGAGTGGGGGAAAGACAATGATTGTGGTTTCAAATGTATTGAGTGTGAAGTTCCTTTTTTTTTTTTCTTTTGGTTTTTCGAGACAGGGTTTCTCTGTAGCTTTGGAGCCTGTCCTGGAACTCCCTTTGTAGACCAGGCTGGACTCGAACTCCCAGAGATCTGCCTGCCTCTGCCTCCCGAGTGCTGGAATTAAAGGTGTGCGCCACCACCGCCCGGCAAGTGTGAAGATTCATGATGTGGTATAACAGAAAGCTGTCTTCATAGAAGAGGCAAAATGGGGAAATTGTTTTGTTAACTTCATCCTGTTCAAACAAAGGGAGCAGGAGTTAGTCCCTGGGCAAAGATTTCAGAGAAGAAAGACTGAAATCCAAGGCACAGCACCATTGTAAGGATGGCATACTTTTTTGTGGATAATAAACAAAATTACATATATTTGGCCAACTCTGCAGAGAAAAATAATCTTTAAGGTATACAGCTCTAAGTCAGTTCTAGTCTTTGTGAACATATCCTCCAGTCAGGGTCATTGAGGTAACAAATTGGTGTAATTTTTTCCTCAGGTGTGATTAACACTCTTCTGTAATAATAGGCTTTCCTTCTTTGCTTTGCAAAAACCCATTGCAGCTTTTTGTAGCCACACTTCCTGAATCTTAAAATTTGTGGTACTTTATGCTGTTTGAAGAATTCACCATAGAATAATATTTCTAGATGCATTTTTTAAAAAAATTGTCAACTCAGATGAATAGTTTACTAATTCTACCAGATTTTAAAAATGTTAAAATGAATTTCCTTTGAACATATTTATGAAGCAGTGTTACTAGATCAAAAATGTAATACATTTAGTTTATTTAGAAACACTGTGTAGTATGTGTATAGATGCATTCCTGTGTAGGCAGAAATTTCTGTCCCACCTGGAACCTTCTGTCCAGGAAGGTTCAGTTCCAAAGAAACACTCAGGGGCATATATTAATTATAAACTACATGATTAGGATTCTTTTTTAATTTTTTTATATTTTTTTTATTTCATTGAGAAAAAGAAAAAAAGTTTCAGCCTCCTCCCAGCCTCCCATTTCCCTCCCCCACCTCCCACCCTTCTTCCCCTCCCTCACTCCTCTCCCCGTCCCTCTCCAGTCCAAAGAGCAGTCAGGGTTCCCTGCCCTGTGGAAAGTCCAAGGTTCTCCCCCCTCCGTCCATGTCTAGGAAGGTGAACATCCAAACTGGCTAAGCTCCCACAAAGCCAGAACATGAAGTAGGATCAAAACCCCGTGCCATTATCCTTGGCTTCTCATCAGCCTTCATTGCTCACCATGTTTAGAGAGTCCGGTATTATCCCATGCTTTTTCGGTCACAGTCCAGCTGGCCTTGGTGAGCTCCCCGTAGATCAGCTCCACTGTCTCAGTGGGTGGGTACACCCCTCGTGGTCCTGACTTCCTTGCTCATCTTCTCCCTCCATCTGCTCCTCATTGGGACCTTGGAAGCTCAGTCCAGTGCTCCAGTGTGGACCTCTGTCTCTATCCCCATCCATCACCAGATGAAGGTTCTATGGTGATATGCAAGATAATCGTCAGTATTGCTATAGGATAGGGTCATTTCAGGTTCCCTATCCTCAGCTGCCCAAGGAACTAACTGGGGACATCTCCTTGGGCTCCTGGGAGCCACTCTAGGTTCAAGTCTCTTGCCAACCCTAAGGTGGCTCCCTTAACTAAGAATTGTCCTTCCGTGCTCCCCTATCCAACCTTCCTTTATCCCAATCATCCTTTTTCCCCAAGATCCCCCCATCCTCCCCTTTTCCCTTTTCTCTCCCCATCTCCCCTTACCCCAATCGCACCCCACCCCCAAGATCCCAATTTTCTCCCCGGCAATTTTGTCTACTTCCCATAGCCAAGAGGATAACTATAAGTTTTTCCTTGGGTTCACCTTCTTATTTAACTTCTTTAGGTTCACCAATTGTAGACTCCGTGACCCTTATTTATTGCTAGAAACCAATTATGAGTGAGTACATCCCCTGTTCATCT